ATCTTTAGGGTCTTCTATGTATAATATCATGTCATCTGCAAATAATGACATCTTACTTCTTTTTCAATTTGGATGCCTTGCATATTTTCTTAAATGGATTTTCTGATTTAATTTTGTACTGGAATTCATCCTTCTTGATTGAAGCCTTATAATAAATAATGCATCTTTTGTCAATCCTCCAACTGCAAAGGTTAATGAGAAAAAAAATAGGAGAATACATAATTTTCTTTAGTCCAGTTTCTGAATTAATAGAGAAAGCACCCACTGAAAAACAATACTATTTAAAACTCTCATTGACATTTCCAATGGGGCAGCTAAACACAGAGAGAAAAAGTGGAACAAAACTATATTGTCTGTTTAATTAGGACGAAAGAAATGAAATACAAACATCAGCAACTTGATGATTGTCATATGGTTCAGAACATGACTGGTTTGGGAAAAACGTTAATTCAGGGCTCAAAGATGGATAAATGGAACAACATAGTACAACTTGGATTTCTCATATCTGTTTCTCATCTTTTTTGAGATGCACGTGTGTAGAGTTCATGATGCTGTCCAAGATATTTTGGCAAACAGCATTGAGGAATATAAGTGTTGACTACTTGGGTGATAGTTGCCAGATCTAGCTACATGTATAGAGTGATAGGAAATTGGAACAGAAATCAGACTGGCAGACTCACATTTGCCACTAATGTAAGCCTTTTGTAAGTGTTGAATTATTCAATTTAGCATTTCTTCAACCCATAATAACTTTGTTGTTCTGTTGTTTTTTTTCTAAGAGATCATACATTTTATTCCTGCCACTAATTAACTCTATGACCATGTACAAATCACTTAAGCTTTCTGAGTTTTTATATTCTTATTTGCAAAGTGAACAAAGGTGGCATTAGGTAATTTCTAAACTCTCTTCCAACACTGACAATCTATGATACTGTTGGAAATAAATGTATTTTGAAGATTAAGGAAAGAATCAATTCATACATTTTACTCAATGAAGAAGTATTATTTAAATATATGATATAAAACGAAGTCACATGAGAGAGCAACTTGTAACTTAAGAAAATCAATCAGAAATTTGAATAGGTTCAGTTAGAGATCTCATCAGCAAGAAATCATGCCCAGCAACAAGAACCAAGAGAACGCCAACAGAATTCAGATTCCTCAGTCCCAATTTTATTATATAGAATAGCACTCTTTTATGTACTTTCTGGCAAGAGGCATATTCTATAGCTAAGTTTTATATTTCTAAAGATGGGGAAATGCAAGGAAATGCTGACTTGATATCTTAGGGCAACAAAAGGTACAACTACAATTATTGAGACCCTGGTGGTAGGGAAATGTTGCAGTTCAGTTGTTTTCTTCATTAGAGATCTCACAAATATGAATTCTCACATAATTAGTCGCAAACATTTATGAGTGTGAAATGACCAGGGGCTATTAAAAACTACAAAGATGGGCAGTTGTGGAGTAGAGGGATAGAAGGGATACATGAGATAATACTTTCAACAATAAAGGTCAATTTAAAAGAATAAAAAAAAAACAAAAAACCTACTAGGACAGCTAGAACAAGCCAGGACTCTTTGGGGCAAATTGAGACCTACCATCTCCCTATTGGCTTGTTTCAATTCTTGTTTTATAAAGATGCTTACTTTAAATATTGTTTCATTATAACTTATTTTAGATTCATCTCAATTACCATTTGCTCTGACTTATTAAATTGGGTTTTAAATGAAGTCTCATCATTAATTAGCTATGTAACTTTAAGACATTTTAAAAGGAATTTCTTTGAGTCTTAGTTTCATCTATGAGGGAATAGATGGAGCCTAGTTTATATTCTCAGAAAATAAAAGTGCCTTACCTTAATTAGAGAGAGAGCAGTTCTCTATTTATCAAGCCCTCAAGGATAGTTGAGAGAGCAGATATGAGAGTATTATAAATGTCTTTTTTATCTTTTCAGTCTCACAGTCTGTTGTACAGTTCTTTTTTATTTTATTATATACAATGTCCATATTGGTAAGAGGATATTTCTTCTACATTGTTCTGATTATTTAGGTGCTATCTTCTACTAATGTTCCCTACTAAGGACCTACCTGGATCTTTTTAGGTATGGTGGCAGTTTTGAGTTTTGGAAAACTATACAGTGTTTATAGGAATAATTTATTGTGCCTTGCAAACCAAAATCTTTGTTTCTCTTTCAAGAAACTTTCAATTATTTCCTCTTTTTGAAACTCTCTGATCACAGGACTTCTATAACACTGCAATATCTTCATTCTCTATGCTTGTCTCTAAATGGTGCTTTCCTCCTCTCCCTCCTCCCTTTTCTCTTTCTCCTTCTCTTCTTTCTTGTATTTGTGCTCCTCTGGCCAACCTTTAACCCTTAGTATCTGACAGGGTCCACTTTAGCTTTCTGCTCTTTCTATCTGCATTCCCTCCATGGGTGACCTCATGCATCTACTGTCATGTTTTCAAGGAACACCTCTCAAATCTTTACTTCTCTGGCCAACAACATTCCTGTTTAATAAGGTGGGGAGAGGGAACAAATAGGCAGTAAAATACTGGCTTCTCTGTGCAGATGGAGGCAGGGAATGTAATGGACCATGGCATGCTAATGGTTGCTGACTAAGCACATGTGTATGTGTGTTTGAATATGACATTACTCTCTTTGGTTTACTGGTCAATTAATCTTTTATATTGTTTTGTAAGAGACGTTTTTATGTGAATGTACCCTTTCACGGCAGGTGATTGCATCCCTTCTTTAAAAAAAATAAATAAATAAATAAAAGGAAAACAAAAACCCTGAACATGGAGCTCTTTTAGCCATAACTATAATGCAAGTGTTTTTTAAAAACAGCACTCCTGGGTTTTCTGAAAAGAAAAATATTGGACTCCGTACCCTGCTTTCTTTCTTGTGGTTGTTTGTGGTTAGAATTTATGTACTTTGTAGTTTATATATCAGCAACAGCTGGATGCTTAAGCTCCAAGGAAAACTTCTCTCAAAATAGTTTTGTTGCAAAGAGAAAATGGCATTCATGAACTTTGGCAGGAACTGTACTCTTGAGCTATGTTCAGTTTTGAAACTTGAAAAACCCACCGCATTGAGAAGCCAGCCACACAGGATCCTGAGCTGGTCTATTGTTACAGGAGGAAAGTGGTGTCAACAATGCACAGAGCTCCTGAGACCTCTGAGGAATTGTGCACAATGTGTCTGTCCAGCAGGGTGTGCAGGCCAGGCCCACTTAGATGGGGACCTTATCACAGAACCACACAAGAGCTCAGGAAGAGGCAAAGTGGGAAACCTGTTACTCTGTAAAGCGTCTTTCCATGACCCGAGTTTGGCTCTGCACTAGCTGACTTAGAAAACAGCTTCACAGATCTTCAAAAATGACTTTGTTTTACTCATTAAACCATAACATTCATATAATTTGGGAGTCCTTTATAATTGAGGTGGGATTACCAGCCATGGTCAGGTCTCCAGAGCAGTACCCTATTATCCCAGTCCCCTTACCTTTCAAGTCAGTGTTTCTGTGTTCTCAGTAATGCAGTGGGGTAGGAGGGTCTCATTCTGCTTGGCCCTGTCAGCTGACCACATCTGAATCACAGTAGCTGGTTTAAAGTCTTAAACCCCAGTAGCAATCACTGTTGTTAAACGAATATCTGGCCTCATCAGTATTTATTGCATGATAATTAAGTTGCCCCAAAACAACTCGTCAGTTTTCTATCTTCCTATCCAGCTGCTTCTGTAGTATGTGAGGCTGTCCCCACCTGCCATGGCTAGGACCCCTCTGTCATGATCCAGGCTACTAGCGATCTGGATGCAATAAAGAAGAGCCCCTATGGTTTGTGGGTGCTGCTCAGGGGTCAGAAACCCTCCCATAGAAGCCAGAGCTGTCTCTGAAGACCTTGTCCAAAGCCTTCCAGCAACAGTTTCTGTGAGAAACTAAAAGAGGTACTCAGCACAGTGGCTCAGGATTAATAGGACACTGTTGCTTTAGGAGTGCTGGACAGGAGGAATTCTGGAGTCCCCTCTCTCATGGCATCTGGCATTTTGTAGTTCTTTTCTTTCACTCAATTAGTTGCCAGCTGAGGCTCTGTCCCTTCTCTCTTTACCTCCTGGAGATTTTTGTTTTGTTTTGTTTTGTTTGTTTGTTTTTTGTCACTTGGCCTGAATTGGAACTACCCTCAGTCACCATGATAGATCTCCTCAGGTCCAATCACCAGGAAGAAGAAGTCAGGAAGTTTATCTGCGATCCTCCTTCCTAGCTGAAAATGTCTCCTTTTCCTTCTATGAACTTCTCATAGCAAGAGGACTGCTGATTCCATGTCAGACTGAAGGCCCTGTCTCATCATTTCTCCCAGGAAGAGCTAACAAGTAGCCACTCAGGGGTTCAAAGTGACCAATCTCTATAGACAACCGGAAGCTTCTCCTGGCTGAGCGGGAGCAGAATATATGAAATCATTTAACTATAGGGCACAAAGCTATACATAAAAGTGTTTTATTATGTTACCTGAGACATAAAAGGGTGATTAGATCCGGATATTCCTTTACACTGGAGTAGTACTATGGTCTACTGAGAAGTATTAATCCTTCTTTTTCTAGGGGGTCTAAAAATGGAACAAAATTTTATCTGTCATAGTTTTAATAGGGTTCTCTCACAGGGCAAGTGAATGGATGACATCGAAGCTTCTGGTTTCTTATAATCAAGTTTCTTATAATCAATGATTGCTTTTTAAAGACTGGCTGTTGTTTGGGCTTGGGTTTGGAATCAGAACATTTGGGTATATGAGCTCCCAAGATTTGGGTTCTGCTACCTTATTTGGTCAGAGAAAATATTGGCATATAAATGAATCCTCCATAAATTTGTGGGAAAATGTTAACTTCTGTACCACTGTAATTACTCTCTATTTTATGAGATTCTGATCACCACCAAAATCAAATGCTTGCAAGGAATCTCATGCATTAATTTATTGCACAAAGTTTATTGTTTGCTTTTATTTTTCAGCCTCCACCTCAGATATATGACAAACAGTTGGATGAAAGAGAACACACCATTGAAGAATGGAAAGGTGACTCTACTACTTAAATAAAGTATACATTTACTTATTGAAACCCCCAAATATTCTCAAGCCTTTTTCTTTTAAAACAATTTAGTAAGAGAGGATTTTCTAATTGCTACCCTCTTATATCATTTTCAAAGCTTCTAAAACTAGATCTGCCTTATCATATTACTAGTAATACTTCATTTACTCAAGAATGAAAGGAATTAAATACTGACACTTTTTAAAACAGTACTTATTATTAAGGTATTTGCCATGGTGGAGGGCAACCTTCAGTTTAACATTTCACAATTAAACATGTTCTATTTGTACATAAATTTATACAAAATGGATAAAATCGTGTATGAGATGATTTAGACATTATAAAATAAAAGTTAATATATGAATTCATTCATTTAATATGTAGTACTTGAGAATTTAAATAAAAAAATACACTAAGTAGCTTATTTTCTTTAAAGTTAGAAAGAATGAATGAATGCATTAATTCATTTTTTCCCAAACACATTGTATCATCGAGATTATATTTATACAGAAACTATAAAGAGTAGTTAAATTAATATAACTAATTACAGAGTAGAATAAATATGACAAAACCAAATACAGATTAAATGAGATCAAAATTAGGAGGAACATAAATGGAAGATCTAAATGGAAGAAATCTTTGTGCCACATTGAATAAATTAATTCTTATAATTTATAATTAGGAAAATAAAAGAAAACACAGAGGAAAATTCTAAAATGGGGACATAAGAGGAAAACAAAGGGTAGATATGAGCAAGAGGTATCATAAAGACTCCAGTGGTCAACAGATCATGTTGAAGAATATGGAAAATGAGCATCCTCCTTCCTATATGTGCTATTGCAAGAAAATGTAGAATACAAACAGTGAATCAAATAAAAAAAAGATATTAAATGATGGATGGAAAAGACTTAATTTGATCTAAATAAGGACCAAGAAGGCACTCTTAGGGGTTTGTGTTGAGTAAGTAAGTGAAAAGATATAAATATCACTTAAGAAGAAAGACATGGACTAAAATGTGAGAAGTAAATACCTGCAAATGTATAAAAGCTGTAAGCCATGTTAAAGAAGGTCTGAGTAGTGCTGAGTGATTGCTAGTTAGAAGGGGCAAAGAAAACAAAATGAAAATATACAAGTTTAACGCTAATTTAAAAAAGCCAAAAATAGATGTCAGTTTGGGAATAAATGTAATAATTATTTAATGGTGGGGCTTAGGCAAGTTCGGTTTGAAAATTCCAAGAGTTGAGTCTGGAAAAAAAGGTGAAGTAAGAGTTAAAAAAAAATTGATAGAAACTAATTGTTTGAAGTCATGAGAATGTTATTTATACATAAATATAGTGATTTATTTACAAGGATAGCACATTGCCCCTTAAAAAGAGAGTAGAAAAGAAAAATGAATGTTCACAACTGAACCATTAAAATCTTTAAGAGATAAGTTAGAATGTGTTTGGAGTCCCCCAAAGAATTCAGAAAACAATCAAAATGTGTATTCCTCATACATTTATTTGGCCAAATGCTTTATTGAGCAACTACTCTTACCAGGTCTGTGCTATTGTAATAAAATGTAGGATCAGAGGAGTAAAGAACTCCCAATTGTGTTCTAATTTACTCAGCCCCATCAAAATGTTATTTGTCATTAAATAAGGAGTTTTCTTTGTGGACTAGGAAGAAACTTATTTTTTAATAACACTGGTAATTATTTCTTACAGAACTTATCTATAAAGAAGTAATGAATTCAGAAGAAAAGACTAAAAATGGTGTCGTAAAAGGACAACCTTCTCCTTCAGGTACTCACTCTCAGTGAATAACCAATAAACCAATACTTGTGTATTTCTCTTGGCCTTGAGCAAGAATTGCGACCAACAATATTGCTTATAGCGCTTATGAACAAGTATCATGTGACCATTGTCCTCTAACAAATTTAGTTGTATTCCCCCACCTTTTGTTAGCTAGAAGAGGCAAAATGAAAACATACAAGTTTAACTTCAGTAATGATAAGCCAAAAATGAATGCCAGCTTGGGAATAAATGTAATAATTTTTTTAGCGTTAGTTTTTAGGAAAGTTTGGCTTTACAGATTCAAGAGTTGAATCTAGAAAAAAGATGAAGAGTTGACACATTTATGGGAAAAAATAGTTTTAAGTTCAGTGTGGCATTCTGACTATTCAAATTATGAAGACCCAGCATAGGAGTTCTTTTAGAACTTATTTTAAGATAAGGAGTCTTAAAGAAATGTTAACATGGGCTGCTTCAAAGGTAACTGCTACTCATTCAGATGCAGAGCTGTGAAGCTCTGACCACCAAGACAATCGAGGGGTTAAGAAACCCTGAAGCTCAAACCTCTTTCCTCATTCACTCCAGTGTTGAACTCTTCACAGGGTTGGTGTGAAGGTAGTTGCAGCATCAACCAAGTTGGGCACCAATTAATGTCAGCATGGAAAACCTTTCAGTTTGTGATATGCAGATTTGTGCATATATTATACATATGTTGCTATGTAATGTGCTTTAGGATTACTTGAGATAATTTACTTACACTTACTAATGCTAATATATTTTTTCTAAGATTTATGTTCTGAATATAAAGAGAATATAAAAAGAGTTCTAGAAAATGTAATGGCTGCCCTGGCCGGTGTGATTCAGTGGTTGCATGTTATCCTGTGCATCAAGAATTTGCTGGTTCGATTCCTAGTTGGGGCACCGGCCCAGGTTGCAGCACGCCCCCTCCTGGGGACATGCAGGAGGCATCCTATCCATGTTTCTCTATCTATCCCGCTTCTTTCCTCTCTCTCTAAAAAATCAATAAAAACATAAAAAAAGAAAATATATGGCTTATACTCAGCTCATGCTGGGAAGAATGTAAGCTGCAAATGATTGGTTTAAAAAAAATAAATTTAGTTTTCTACCTTTGATAAGCAATTTCCCCCTAGGATTTTTCAGTTGTTTCAGGAAGAAAAAAAGATGTAATGTGAATTAATAAATGTGTCATATTGTTCTACTCTGAACAAGTTTGTACCTACAACCACTAGGCTGCCTAAATAAATGCATTTCAGTTATGATGTGTTTTTTTCACCTCTAGACTGGAAGAAATGTCAAATTCTATTCCAAATCTCTCCTTTCCTCAAAGAGGGTTAATGGAATCATTAGGGTTGTGTACCCACCTTATTCATTTGTTCCAGCATCCAGATTGCTACAAGCCTGGAGAAGTTGCTTTTAATTTACCTGCATGTTCTGTCTGCTGCTAATTAAGGAACCCAAAGACTGAATCCAATGCCCTCAAGATGCCTCTTGCTATGGCAAAACGACTGCTTGTCTTAAGAATTCCCATAATGGCCAGAACATGTTTGGCTGTCATTATGAAGAGGCCAAATTACCAGGGTTCAGTGAAGGGTGACTAGCATTTCAGGCTTGGGCTAGACACATTTTAACAGTTTCTTCCATTCATCTTTGGTTAAAGTCATCATTAGTTCATCTTCTTTCCTTTTTCCAAAGTGATCAGAATCATGCTACCCACTCCAGGACACCCCATTTTCTGCTATTTTCTCTTCCATTTCCCCCTAAGCCATAACCAGGTCTCCTCAACAGCTAATCTTTGATGATGTAAAATTCACAATTTTCTCTTTAACACTTTTACAACACGTCTACAAAAATACTCTCATTTCCACGACTCCTTTTATGTAGCTAAGGGAAGGCAAAAAAGGACTGAGGAGTGTAGAAGTGAGATTAATTATCAAAGGGATGGGATGAGTGGTCTGCCATATGAAGAAAGCTTTACATATTTGGCAAAGGAACACAGTTTATATATAATCAAAGCATACTTTTTAAATCATTAAAACCATACTTCTTATACAAAAGAAAGTGAGGATATGTACTAGTTTCTATTAACTCATTCATGAAGAAAATGGCAGAATGACAATGGCAGGTTAATGAAGATGTAAGAAATTAGGATTTATGTAATCTGTGTGCGACTGTGGGAGGGAAAGCTATAGATTTGAGCAAGAATTCCACTAATCAATGCTCTTCAATGGCTTTGCATCATTTATGATTTAAGCTTAGTACCCTCTTGCTGATATTGATTTCCCTGTATAATATACCCAGGCTTTTTCACATGGCGCCCCTTCTAGGGTCTTATATTTTTACTAGAGGCCTGATGGATGAAAATTCATTTAAGAGTAGGCCTTCCTTCCCTCAGCTGCCAGCACTGGCTTCCCTCCAGCCCTGGCTTCATCAGAAAGGAGGGCTGGAATGATGTCTGATCTAATTAGCATCTTACCCTTTTATTATTACAGATACAGTGAGGTTCACCACCTTTAGGAATTCTGTTCACTCTAAAGTGTTTGCTTATTAAATACCACATTGTCCCAAAATATCTTTCATATTTGTCCCAAAAGACTTTTCATAACTTCCTAAATGAATAGAATCTTTCTGTCTTTATGGGTATGACTAGTTCCTGTATTTTAGATGTTGCCTTATTACAGCTTTAGTGATTATACATTTATTGAGAAGAAAACCTGTATGTATTCATCCTGTGTACCATGCAATGCCTAATTGCTGTGCCTTGTGCATAATATTAACTTGATAAACATTTATTAATTTAAAAATTGCTACTCAGACCCTCCCTCAGCATATTTCTTGGTGCTCTTCCAAAGACAGAATTCAAGATAGCATCATAACTTTAACACAGTTTGCAATTCAGTATGTTCTGATGCTAGTAAATATTTATTCACTCTATTAATTACCGTGAAGATAAATGAGCCAAGAATCAAGTATATGAAGTGTTGCTACTGCCATTTGCTTATGTTTCAGATAAAGCTTTGCTGCTTTCAGGTAGTTATTTGATTTACTCATTTCTGGTAAATCAAATGTATATTTCTGATTTTTTTTTACAGATCTGTTTATAATGTGTTAATAATTAATTGTAAGCTATGTCACTTATGTTCTACCTACATGTGAGAAGGCTAAACCACTTTTTAATCACTTCAAGTACTTATAACATTCACAAATTATCTACCGTATTCACCGTATCTACCGTATGCCCTAAATTATAATTATATAATTATTAAATGATTTTTTTTATTTTCCTGACTTAACCAAGTTATAGGAAGAATTATTATGGATTTAATCTTTCACTTCATGATTTTAATGTAAGATATTCTTGCTTAATTGAGAAATCATGTATATATAACATCTGTTATGAGATATTTGCATATGATGTATTTGTATGCATAATGCAGAGGAGCAGGACAGCCATTCACCAGAGCTTATCCTTCTAGCTCCTGAGACCCAATTTTGCTCATCTCTCCCAACTATGAGTTAATTGTCCTCATATTGGTAGCTTGAAACTCACCATGCAGGATTGAAAACATGGAAATTGCCTAATTCTACAAGTCAGATTTTTTTGGCCCTGGAGAGCCAATTATTACACTTTTATTGGCACACCCCTGTGTTTTTGTGTGTGTGCAGGCACAAGATGTACATTTGCAGAAAGTCATGCTGGAAAGAAAAAGCAACTATGCGAAAAGTCAGCTTTCTTGCATTATTCATTATTTATCTGCATATCATAATTTATTTTATAGATAGCTAAGATGAAGTAATATTACAACATAGACTCCCTTAATGCTTAGTCCTGTCAACACTGCGAATTCAGCAGCAAGTGAATAAGTTAATACAGTTTCACAGGGACAGAATGTTTCTGAACACAAAACCATGTTTTAATGATGCGTTTAAAATATAAATAGGAAGTGAACTGTGCATTTGCAGAAAATACATAGGTTTGAAATTTATTTATGGAATTGTTGTATATCAATAAGAAATACATCTAAATTTCAGATACATTTCTAAATAAATAATTGTACTCCCTTCTGCTATCTGATTTCACTTGCATAGTGATTTATTTTCAAGAATAGCATGGCTGCTTGCTTTCTGAATTGATTTGTAAAGACTGCTGAGGGAATTTCAGCTCATGAATAGAAATTAATTTTCTTCTGGAAGCATTTGTCATAGAATGTTAGAGCTAGAACAAATAAAAGAGGTCATCTAATCTAAAAACTCTGCTCACCACCTCCATTCCACCTGAAAAATAAACCAGCCAGAATTACCAATGACTCACCAAGGTCTATCCATACTGAGTAGGATGGATAGAGCTTTAGCAGAAAATCTCTAATTGAAGATAAAGCTCCACAGATCATTATAATCTACTAGAGGCCCAGTGCACAAAATTCATGCACCGGATGGGGTGGGTGGGGGAGGTCCCTCAGCCCAGCCTGCACCCTCTCAGGGTCCCTCAGGGGATGTCTGACTGCTAGTTTAGATCTGATCCCACAGGGATCCATGAGGGATTGGGCCTCAATCGGCAGTTGGACATCCCTCTTGCAATCTGGAACTGCTGGCTCCTAACTGTTTGCCTGCCTGTCTGATAGCCCCTAACCACTCACCTGCCTGCCTGCCTGATTGTCCCTCACCACTTGCCTGCCTGCCTGCTGATCGCCCCAACCACTCTTCCTGCTTGCCTGATTGCCTCTACCACTTACCTGACTGCCTGTCTGCCTGATCGCTGCTAACCACTCTGCCTGCTTGCCTGTTTGCTCTTAACTGCTCACCTGCCTGCCTAATTTCCCCTAACCACTCACCGGCTTGCCTGATCATCCCTAACTGCTCGCCTGCCTACCTGATTGCCCCTAACTGCCTCTGCCTCGGCCCCTGCTGCTGCAGCTTCATCCAGAAGGTCATCTGGAAGGATGTCTGGAAGGTCATCTAGCTGTCTGGTCTAATTAGCATATTATGCTTTTATTATTATAGATAACCTCTCCTCCAACTATATTCCACACACTGTGGAAGTGTGTTCTTCTAAATTAGAGTCACTGTTGTAGTACAAAAATATTGTTTTTCTTGAAAAATCTCAGCCTCAAACAAGTTGAGGCTCAATGTCATGCAGAAAGAGAAAGAAATATATTTCAGTGACTTTTTTTTCATTTTTGTATTTCTTATAATTCTTTGTATCTATTTTTTGTGTGTGGATAGGTCAGGAAAACAATTTCCTTTAAAAATGCAGAACAGCATTTTTCACTGAAATAATAGATACCTTTTGGCTTGATAACTTCAAGTTGAGAAATTTTCAATGATGTAAGTTACTTCTTTCCATAAAAGAAAAACTTTCTCTTACAGTAGCTAGTAGGTGGTATTCCTTATTTGCAACCTGCTAGTATTTTCAGTACTTTAAATGCTATTTTTATTTGCAAACATTTGTAATTCTTAAGATTAAATGCATGTCTACTGGTTTCCCTGAAAACAGTATAAAAGGAATATTTATCACATTGTTAGGATATCCAGGACAAGTGGCCCTATAATCAAATTCAATTCAGTTCATTTTTGTTTAGGAAATTTTCACAAACTCTTTGGCAGTAAATTAACAACTTGAAGCCAAGGTCCATGTCTTGACTCTTCTATTTGTGTTTGGTTTTATTGTCTACAAAGTTTATTTATTGCCTACATGAAAACAGTCTTAGCTGTATCATCCATAAAGCCAGAATTGGCTACAATCAAGCAGGCATTTATTATAGTGCAGTACAGGAAGTCACACAGAAGATCTTTCATAGGACAGTGAGGGACTGGTTAATCTTTAACAACTATCTCTTTAAAAAAAAAATCAGAACTGATGATAGTATTCACCAATTTCTGGGGTGTGAGTGTTCTCACTGTGACCAATTTCAGGCTACCAATGTGATATCAATGAAGGCAGAATGGAAAGAGATGCTAATAACTAGCTTTCAAAAGCCACTAAAAGCCGGCCCAGCATGCTACTCTAGTTTTTGCTACTTCGATTCAATATTATTTATAAACTAGTGTCCCGGTGCACGAAACTTGTGCACATTAAAAGGGAATTCATTAGAGGAAATATTTGAATATTGCTATTTGCCCTTCCTCTATAATTGACCCAACAATTCCATGCTTAGAATAAAACTTTTACATGACTGTTTATAGCCACATTATTCACAATGGCCAAAAAGTAGAAACAACCTAAATGTCTATCACCTAATAAATAGATCTGATGCATTTATACAATAGAATATTATTCAGTCATAAAAAGACTAAAGTATTGATACACGCTACAGCATCAGTGAAACTTGAAAACATTATGCTTTGTGAAAGAAGCCAGTCATGAAAGATCACAGGTTGTACAATTCCATTCATATGATACTAGAGACCCAGTGTACTAATTCATGCACGAGTGGGGTCCCTCAGCCTGGCCTGTGTCCTCTCACAATCTGAAGCAGCAGGCAGCCAGAGAGGAGCCTAGACCAGGCGCAGCATCACTGCCGCCCTCGCTCATCCAGGCCCCACTGCTCCTGCCACCGCCTCTTGGTAGTGTGCTACCGCAGAGGCAGGAGAAGCTTGCACCACAGCTGCACTCACCAGCCGTGAGCCTGGTATCAGGTGCCCCTCAGTCAACTGAGCAACACACCTGCTGTGGGAGTGCACTGACCACCAGAGGGCAGCTCCTACATTGAGCATCTGCCCATGGTGGTCAGTGTGTGTCATAGCGGCTCATCAAACGGTCATTCAGTCATTCAGTTGCTTAGGCTTTTATATATATAGACATCTCTGATAGGCAGTTTTATAGACAGAAAGTAGAGTCAACAGTGCCTTGTGGTGGAAAGTAAGTAAGAAACAAAGAACAGGGTTTCCTTTGCGGGTGATGCAAACAATACCGCATTAATTGTGGTGATGGTTGCACAACTATGTGAATATCCTAAAAATCACCACGTTGAACAAATATGTGAATTATATCTCAATAAAGTTATTGCAGAAAGGTATACAGACAACATTTTGTATTTCAAATTAAAATTAAATCTAAAGCATAGCACCATGATTTGAAAGCCATTGTTGTGTAGGGATATATCACCCAGGAGATGAATGAACAGTAAGAACAAAGCAATCTCACTCTGTCAGCCCACAATTGATAGAGTCATTCTTAAAGTTCTGTGTCTAGTTTTAATCTCTATCCTTTAATAAAGATGTGGAAAATTTGGAGACAGTTCTGACAAGTACCTTATAGTGATGCAAATTATTAGAGACCGAAGCTTGTGAAAAAAACATGAGGGTGGTAGTGTAATTTAATCCAGAATCAGGAGGAAAAACAGAGCCTGGCACTTGGGAGATGTCAGGGAATCAAGGGTTGTCTGCTAGTGTGAGAAATCTAGTAAATGTCACGAGAGGAAATGAATGAGCTCTGCACTGTCTCTCTAAAGGCTGTAATTAAGTAGAGTTGGAATAAATTGAAACCAGACAACTTTACATTTCACAATGTTCTGATAATGAGAGAGTAATTATTTATAAGAGTTTTAAAAATCTAGACAGATTCAGCATTAGGAATTACTGATACTTCTAAGAGTTTAAAACACAAAAAAATATATTGTATAAAATATACATTTTGTATATGAAACATGTTTCAAAAGAATATATATTCAATAATTGCAATTAGAGAAACGCCCTAGCGAAAAAGACAAGGAAGAAATATACCAACTTGAATAGCTCCTGTTGTTAGCATGCTGATCAGTGCACATTATCTTTTTTTCTGTAGTTTTTTCACATTTCCCATAATTTAATGTATATATTTAGTCAACAAAGAAAAATTTAAAATACATGTAATATCTGTCTTGGTTTAGATGTATGGTCCTCTCCAGATACTTTCACTTTTTAAAAAAATATGTATTTTATTGATTTTTTCACAGAGAGGAAGGGAGAGGGATAGAGAGCTAGAAACATCGATGAGAGAGAAACATCGATCAGCTGCCTCTTGCACACCCTCCATCAGGGATGTGCCTGAAACCAAGGTACATGCCCTTGACCAGAATCGAACCCGGGACCTTTCAGTCCACAGGCTGACGCTCTATCCACTGAGCAAAACCGGTTTCAGCTACTTTCACATTTTAATCACATTTTTCTACAGGCAGGAAATGTCTACCTCAGAAGCAATCACATGGTGTTGATGTCTCTACTTCATTCAACTATGTTTTTTTCTGGTTTACTAGATTTAAGTAATAATACTACTATAACTTGCCTTGGATTTATTACTTTTTATCAAATATATCTAGCACACTGTATTTGCTCAAATGAGGTACGATTTTGAAGACAGTTCTTCACCTCTTATTTTATTAGATGGTTATACTGCAGGTATTTCAAATAGCAAAATTTCATAAAATATACCTTAGGCCACTCATATTACTTTGGTATAAAGATGATAAGGCCTGAAGAGAGGTATGAGTGGGGTGGAGGGAAGGGAAGAAGACATCTGTAATACTTTCAAAAATAAAGAGAAAATTTAAAAATTAAAGAATAATAAAATGAAAAAGAAAAAGAATACATAAAGAGAAAGAGTGAACTGACTCTCTCCAGGATGCTGTGGTTTAATTATACCTTATAATGCCTCTGGTTCATCTTTCCTTATAGTTCTCAGTTTTAACTCGTATGTATTTACTGAGCCATTACTATGAACAGTTTTCTCCTTGGAACTGCAAAATTATTATATTCCCACATAGCTGATAAAGTAGAGAATTATTGCAGATTATTCTAAATTAACAATTCAGAGTTCTTATCTGTAGATTCCCAGGCAAGCAAGCTTGCTGGGAAGTAAATACACAAGTAGAAGGTGTGCTCTGTATTAGGGCCTACTAACCCCCTTCATTTTAAAAATAATAACAAAAAGGAAGAGACATACAAACTAAAAAAATAGAAGTGGGCTCTGGCTTCTCCAATTTTTCCCCTTTGTTCTATGGCAACTTCCATCAAAAGTCTTACTTGGTTTTTCTATATGGATTTTAAATTTGATGTCATATTAATGACTAAGTAATATTTACATAATATCCCTTTCTTTCTCTAAAGCTGTGGTCTCTAAGAAACTCAGATATCTGGGCTTCTCCTCAGCCCATATTTCTGAGATAGGACTCTTACATGTGTTTGTTTTTAAAAGCTTCCTGCAATAAAAGCATGCAGGTTCAGATGATCACATTAAAGGGTTCGCTTGAGTGCCTTCTCCATAGACAGCTGTCTTCACTCCTTGATGACATGGTTTCTGGGAAGCTTTTAAAAAGTGCAAAGGCCTTGGCTCCATTCAAGGCCATTTATATTACTAGATTGGAGGTGCAGGGAGTGACTGGGGTTTTTAGTGTTTGTGGTTTTCCTCTTCCCAGTGCATTACAGGTGATTTCTAAGGTAAAGTGAGATTTGCCAACTACTGCACTCGTCTACAAGTGACATGTGACGGGGGAATTTGTGCTTTTATGTCTTCGTTTTCATCCTCCACCTGGTGCTCTGGATCAGTTTTGCAATGAAGGCTTGTCAAAATGAATGATGGACTAGCCGTTCCCCTATTGCATTTGCCCAGGCTGCATCCTGAGAGACACCGAATCTGCTTCCAGATTTAGTCATGTGGGTCTTCATTTTCTTAGCACAGGTGCAGCAGTGAACAGCAGTGAGAGTCTTCCTCCGTCCTCGTCCGTCAACGACATCTCCTCCATGTCCACTGACCAGACCCTGGCGTCCGACACTGACAGCAGCCTGGAAGCTTCGGCGGGACCCCTGGGTTGTTGCAGGTGACTAGCCGCCTGCCTGCGAAACCCAGCGTTCTTCAGCAGATGACAGGATGGAACACACACACCCGCACACACAGACCCGCACACACACAAACGCAGACACGCAATGGCGAGAACACAGCAAGGGGGGGAACCCAAGCCCAAATTGAAACAAACCTTTCAGCTTGCTTCTTCTCCAGAGCGCTCTATTGCAGCTAAGCCAGATGCGTATTTAACTCCTAGTTGCTCTTGCTTCGATCTTCTTCCAATGATGCTTACTACCGAAAGCAAATCAAACACAATTAGGGAAGCCTTTATTTCCATAAAGTGTAATTTCAATGGCTGCGAAACCAGCGACCTGTAACTGCCCTCTCAAATGGCATGACAAGGTGTGCAGTGGCCCCATCCAGCATGTGTGTGTCTCTATCTTGCATCTACCTGCTCCTTTCGGCCTAGTCAGATGGATGTAGATACAGATCCGCATGTGTCTGTATTCAGACAGCACTGCTTACTTAGAGATGCTACTGTCAGTGTCCTCAGGGCTCTACCGAGACATCACGCACTGGGGTACCACATGGTCCATTTCATATGATCTATTACTCTGACATAACACCCATCTGTAATATATTGCCAGTATATAAGCTGTTTAGTTTGTTAATTGATTAAGCTGTATGTCTTATAAGAAAACATGTAAAGGGGGGAGACGTGGGGGGGGGGGGAGGAGCGAGCTCTCTTGAACCCTTGAAGATGTAGCTTCCAAATTTGAACTGATTAAATGGCACCTGTATACCAATTTGTAGAAAGAACATATGTGATGCTTATGTACATTGTGGGGGTGGAAGGGGGGCGGGTAACAGTCCCTGAATGGTTTGGCTTTTAAAGGAAGGTGGGAATGCAAGCCGAGAGTCTTTTCTCTGACAATGTGTGGGTAGATTGACTGACTAAAGTTGTGTTGAGTATGGAGGAAGACCTACAGGGGATTGTTGCTCCGTGACTAGGAGACACCACATCCATGTTCTAGAGCAGTGTTTCCCAAACTTTTGACATATGTGTACCCCTTCTATAATTTTCATAACGCTGAGTACCCCTCGTACTCATGAGAACGTAGAATTAGGCGCAGCTAAGCATGGTGCAGTGCATATTTCCACCAAACTTCGGTGCAACGTGTACCACACTTTGGGAAACACTGTTCTAGAGAGAAGAGCCCATTTGTCATTTACAAGTTATGTGTCACAACTGGACAGAGAGTGGCAGGTGGGGAGGCGGGGGTATTGTGCACGTGTCTGATCCTAAGAATTGCTCTCCGGGCGACGTCTTTCAGAACAGGAGCCTACTTAGACTATCCTCACACTGTGGGTTGTGTTTTCCATGGGTGTGCTACTTCCCAGGCTTATCCTCTGCCAAGGTTTTCCTTTGAGAAGAAATATTACTTTCCCCTCCTGGAATAAAAAATAAAAAAATAAAAAATAAAGAATTACTTTAAAAACACACAAAAGCACAGGGCGATCTTCAGGTTAGCATTTGAAAACATTTCCACTGACATTGTTTCTCACTTCTTAATATGGCTGATGTTTCCTATTTGTTTATTTTCATCCATTTGACCCATCCGAGAAGGGTTAATGATTTGAGTGTAGTACCGCAGTTGATGCCACAGCAATAACTCTGCCCATACGTCCCTGCTGCTAAACAGCTTTGGCAAAAGGAGTTTGTCCTAAGAGCCATGAAGCATTGTCGTCCGTGGTTAGCAAAATCACGAGTTGCACATCCGTTCGGTGAAAGTGCTTCCTGAGCTCCTGAGGAGGCAGCACCTGGGTTAGGCACAAGGCAGTGCCAGGGTCACTGCTCAGCAATACTAGGGACCAGGTTAGGCTTCCCTTCTTACTCTGCTGAGCTCACCGTCACAGCTCTGTGCACTCTGACCATTTTGGTGCTGACCCAGGTGGTGACATTTCACCTGAAGAAGAAGTGAAACGCATGAAACAGATGGGTGATGAGTGTGATATGGCTGGCGAGTGGAATCTCTTCCAAATGAGAGCAAACAAGAACGCCAGTGCTCCGAACAGCGCCTTAAACACACTAGGGGAGCTTTGTCTCTCTTTCAGCAATAGAATCACCCCCCTCCACACTGTGCAGCGGTGGGGCCGTTTATGGGATTGCTGCACACAGGAGGATTCATGACAAGAGGTCATTTGTTTAAAATGGGGAGAAAAAACGTTAGACCATGCAGCTTGTCCCCTAGAATAAAAGCACCCCATTTCTCTGTGTTGCTACCAACATTTTTGGTTAATATTGCAGACAACCTGGTTTTCAAAACGTCTCTCATTTTTCCTTCTGTTACACTCTCCCATCCCCAACCCCTTAAAAAAAAAGTCTCTTCTTTGTATCCGTAAGTCTTTGAAAAAAAAAAAAAAAAATATATATATATATATATATATATATATATATATATATATATATATATAATTGATTTTTTACAGAGAGGAAGGGAGAGAGATAGAGAGCTAGAAACATCGATGAGAGAGATACATCGATCAGCTGTCTCCTGCACACCCCCTACCAGAGATATGCCTACAACCAATGTACATGCCCTTGTCGGGAATCAAACCTGGGACCTTTCAGTTTGCAGACCGACACTCCACCCACTGAGCCAAACCAGTTTCAGCTGTATCAATAAGTCTTTACTTGTCTTCCGGTTTCAGCTGTATCAGTAAGTCTTTACTTCTCTTCTCTTGCTTCATCTGTGGCCTCTCTCCTCCTGGCTTTCTAGCACTTGCGATTAAGTGCATAGAGTAAGCAACTCTTTAAAAGAAAGTCACAAGGGGAATTTATTCAGCCACAAAATTACATCAAAAGATAAAAAGAGGTCTCCAACCAGCATCTTAGCAGTGCATGGCAGGTGGACTGTTTCTGATAGGCACAGAAGTGATTATTATTATTATTTTTTTATTTTTTTACTTAGATTAAGCCAGGCAAGAACTAGGTAATGCCCCTCCCCTGCTATTACTACCTTTCCTAAACTCAACTAGTCTGATCTCCCTGTTGTCTGGCTCTTAGGAGCTGATTGCCTTTAGCCAGATCTCCCTTACAGACAAGCTCAAATAGGACAAATCCCCCAGTTGAAGTTTCATGTGCAAATAAAACTAAGAGTTTGGCTTTTTCACTGCTTATAGGATTAATTTCACTAGGTTATCAAAGTAAGATAGGTGATGTGACAACAAAGAATTATTCCAAAAGCCCACCAGCCCTTTACAATGTTGGGTCTACTTTATTATAATATTACTAGAGGCCCGTGCACAAAATTCATGCACTCATGGGGGTCCCTCAGCCTGGCTGTGCCCTTTTACAGTCTGGGAATCCTAGGGAGCGGGCCTAAGCCAGCAGTCGGACATCCTTAGGGTTGTCACTAAAGTGGGAGAGGCTCCCACAACCACTGCTGCACTTGCCAGCCACAGGCCTGGCTTCTGCCTAAGCCGTGCTCCCCCTGTGGGAGTGCACTGACCACCAGGGGGCAGCTTCTGCATTAAGTGTCTGCCCCCAGGTGGTCAGTTCATGTCATAGTGACTGGTCATTTTGCCATTTGGTCTATTTGCTTTTTAGCCTTTTATTAGGTAGGATGTTTGGCACTGAGCCTTTTTTCCCTTAAAAAAATTCCTATATAATCACATGTAACTTCCAAAGCACTCTTGCTTTTTAGTCAGGAAAGTGTCAATTCACCTGGACTATGTTCCTGAAAGAAGGGCAAGTTCTACCTAAGATGAGGGTTCATTTCAGAGTGTGTGGCTGGCACTCAGAGACTTAACCTGTCACTTCCCATAAGGCACTGGTTTTGCAGCACACACACTTTCATACACACACCACCCTCCAGTTCTAGGTCAACCCTGGAAGCCAAAACCAGGCCGGTTTCTTTGCAGGGCCTTAGTGAAATGCTTTGCTGTATTTTGTAGGAAGCATGGCTGTGGGCCCACAGGCAGGAGGAGTTAAATTGTTGGGGAGAATTTGGCAAAATCTACCACCATGTTGATATGATTATATACATTTTGTGAGTCAGCCTGTTCATTTAAAAAAAAAAAATTTTTTTTTTAAACAAGATACATTGGCCTTACAACCAAATCTCTTCTTGTAGACTAACAACTGATGGTGACCTTGCATCTTCAAGAATCTGATGACTGAGCTTTGTGAGAATGTACACCCCAGGTGGACCAGGGCCTGGCCAAGTCCTTCCACCTGGAGAACTATTTAATTGATGGCCAAGGGACAGGTTTTTTTTTGGTTTTTTTCTCAATTTGTTATCATTATCAGATAAACATTACCTAAGGATACTGGTAACAGAAGGTAGACCTTGACAAATGGAATACATGGAATAGATAAAAATACATAAATCTTTCTATGACCTGGTTGAGGGGAGTGGGTGGGAGGAAGCAAAACTCACTTTTAAATTTTAATTATTCGTTGCAAAATCTAAACTATACAAAAACCTATTTCTTTTTAATTCTTTCTTTTCTTAAAAAAAGAAATTCTCACCTGAGAATATTTTTCCATTGATTTTAGAGAGAGGGAAAGAGAGAAATATCAATGTGAGAGAAACGTAACGATTAGTTGCCTCCTGTACTGACCAGCGCCCGGGCCAGGGAGGACCCTGCAACCGAGGTATATGTCCTTGACCAGAATCAAACGTCGGACCCTTCAGTCCACAAAATGATTCTCTATCCATTGAGGCAAGCTGGATTTTAGGACTCTTTTAATTCTTTTAGCATATGACAATTTAAATCTTAAAAGCAATGCAGTTTGCTAAGAATGTTGTCTGCCAACTTTGCTGAACAATGTATCTTTTACAGCTCAGAGAAGTAAATAAAATTGCTTCAAGAATCTTTGGTCCCAACCACTTGGGGTCTAAAGATAAATTCCATCCCTTTCTTACAATCTTCCCCGCTCTTACCCCCACACACATTTTAATTGTGAGAATCCAACATTTAATACAGATATCATTAAACCATCAGGAAAACTCCTTACTGTAAAAACAACAAACAAGTTACAATGTAAATAGTTATATTAGTTATTTTTCATGTGATTAAAATATAAGATTTTGTTATGGGGGGGAGGGCACTTAGATAGTCTGCTTACTGTCTGAAATGATTTACTTTGATCCATTTCCTTGGTCAGTCAAGCTGAAATGGACTTCTGTATATCTAACCGTTGATTCCGTGGGACCAATGGCCAGTATATCCTAAGGAAACAAATCTCCCAACCCTTATCTAGCATTAAACTGTTCACATTGCCATGTCTGTCTTGCAACAAGACCTAACTTGCACCTGCCTGTTATTCTGCATGATTGAACTCCCAAGACTATTACCAATGATGAGAATTGTCCTGTGTCAGTGTTTATAAATGGACTTACAGCATGCTCACATTCACACATACCTCATCCTTCCATTCTAGATCAACCATGGAAGGCAAAACCATGCCAGTTTCTTGACAAGGTCTTAGTGGTGAGAACTGAAAGTCAGCCTAATGAATCAAATACAGTCTTCGTGATGTTTAATAAGTATTTGAAATTATTTAATTCATTTCTGTGTTCTTTCTCTCTCTTCTTCTTTTTTTTTCTTCTACTTTTTTTCTTTATTTTTAAATTGTTGGTGGAATAAGAGCAATAATAAAGGAGAACTTTGGCTTTTTTGGACTCTTTGTAGGTGGATACTGAGTTAATACATTGTGATTTCTGTTTCTTATGATTATTAAAAATCAGAGTAAATCTGCTTCCCTTAACATAAAATCAAATCTAAACCAGACTTTGTTGGAGTTTGCTGTTGACAATGATGGTTGTTCTGCTCATTGTCTTGGTTTTTCTGTCTTGCCAGTAGTTCTGAAGCATCTCACATGGTTTCCTAGTGTAGTCTGATTGTGCTCGGGAATAAATAAGAAGTGAGGAATGACCCACTTTCTCCCTATGGGTCCAATGTGTGTGACATGTATGTGGCCATGTAGAAGGCTGTGCTTTCATGTGAGATGGGTTTCTTCTAAAAATGACCTTCATTTCTGCTTGGGGACCCTAGTTGAATGTCTGCAATTCAGTAACTTTTCTTATATTTATAAAATCAGCGAAGGGGGAAAAATCGTTTTCTGGAAGCATTCTAGGTGAGTAGAACAGGGTTAAATATTCTTGGTTACTTTATCAGAATTACTAATCAGTTTAATTATTACCCAAGAGAGAAGGTAAAAAGTTTTCCTATCTGCATGGTAGCTAACTTACCCCCAAACTGCTTGGTGAATAAAAAATATATAATTTTGTGGTTTGATAAGGAAATCACCAAACCTATGTTAATTTAGCTGGAAATATCTGAACAATATCAAGGATTGGCCCTTCTATTTCTGTAAATAAAACATTTCATTTAACCAATTAATTATTAGAAAATCTGGAAAATAAAAATACCTATTCTTTTAAGTTAATACAATTTACACCAATGCCTTTTGTTATTTCTGGCATAGCTTCTATTCTAATTTAAACCTCAGATTTTTAGTCTCTTAATAAAATAAGTTGAACAATGGTCAAGTAAACGTACCAGAAGAGACCCACAATATTGAGGGAAATTGCATTCCACAATATTACTCATGGAGAGAAAGGAGTTATTGGTGCATATCAAGTACCATAAAAGTTACTAAATGTTTGGGGAATTTTAACTCATTTTGCAGTGAGGAGAAGAAAGGAGTCTTGAAAACTACCTTCCTTATAGCTACTACTCAGGCAACAACCAGCCCAGAAGAATGATTCCCTTTGCTAAGTGACATCACTGGGTTGAACACAGGATGGCAGATTTTGACATTGCCAATTCTTCACAATGGTGTTTTGTACTTGTAACGTGTCTCTCCTCCAAGGGTTTTGAAAGCCATGCCTGGAGGACCTTTGCAAAGTAGTGAACCACACTGAAAATCTCACCACGTCAGATCACTTCATGCAGGGGATCACTATATGTGGCAAATCTCTCTGTCTAAGCTACAGACTGAATTCCGTCTGCTCAACCTTTTAGATCAGCATGTTCTGATTTAGTTACAGAAAACAAGCCAAGCTGTAGAGTGTACATTTCTCAAACACAAACTTTGGTGACAACTACAAATGAGAGTCAAACGCCCCTTTGGAATTCCCCACCCACTCTGTATCCCATATTTCTTGCTTAAATAAATACTTCTGTTGGTATGAAACATAATATAAGTCTGAATTGCAATTGAGAACATTCAAGTTTTACTCCGTGGAGAGGGTGGCTTCACCCCCTTGTCACCGAACTTTGGGTGCTGCTATTTCCTGGGCCTGGCCTGGAATCTTTTTGTTTACTCAATAGTTTAGATTATTTGTAATTTAGGAAGCAACTTCAAGATAGTATTCACTGAAAAAACTCTC